TCAAAAACCAATCATTTTATTCGGCACTTCATTAAAATTTCAAAAATCTTTACCTACACGAGTTCCGAAAACAATTAAGCATAAATAAAAACTAAAAGTATATCAAGATTTAATAATGCTGCTTACCGTGTTCTCCGTCAATTGAAATGTCCAAATAAACTACAGGGTTCCTTTGTTGGAGTATGGGATCCGGCATTGCATTCATAAATTTTTATGTGGAATGTTTTATTAAAGCTTAATTACGCTATTCCTAAAATGTACAATAAATAATTCGATTAATATCATTTAAGCACTTTCTATTGCACTAAATACTAAATAAAAACTTAGAAATTCAACTCGTCCTTTCTAAGCATCACAGCCAAGCATCCACAGACTATTAGCAAGCATCGTAAAACGAAATAAGGATGCACATTAAGAATATTAAGATTCGATTTTCATGAAGATCGATTCATGTGTAATGTATACGATCCAGTGATTTTTGTATCGATTCGCAATTTTTAAGCAAATCTAACTCTGACCCTCGATTGAATTGTAAGGTTAATCCTATTATATATTGGTCAGTAAGAAAAGTACTTTAGCAACATCTAGATATGTAAGTACAATAAAGTCTAGTGTGTTTGGTGAATGTCACTACTTCTATGTCATCGTAACGTCTTTTCTCACTGGTTATGATTAATTAATATTACTTTAAATCAAAGTCGTAACCGATAGAAGCCGAAAAGACTATCATTTTTTTTTTTTCGAAAACTAAATGTGAAACGATATTTATGAGATCAATTCAAAAGCATGTAATATTCAGGTGTTCTACTCTCGTTCTCCGTCTGAAACATACTGTCAAATTAGTAATACTCGTACAAATTAAAAGACGCATGATGCAAATTAAGCTTCGTACTTGACATCGTCTTTTGATTTGGTGGAGTATTAAGTTTTGACAGTAATTGTTTCGGACGTGGAACGGGAGTAGACCCCTAGATGCATATGATCCATTACGATAAAAAAAATCGATTCAAAGAAAACATTAACATCCATAAAGTCGAATACCATAGATTATGATTACACTTTTTTTTGTATTGTTGTTTTTTTTATATTTTGGAAAAGCCAAAGGCACTAATGCGCCATACAGCCAAGACAGAGTAATTTCTTTCTTGGATTCCATCAATGTCTTCGATAGTGCTTCCTTTTGTGATTGATTATTCACTAAAAAACATATTTTCACATAACCTCACGTTTTAAGACGTGAACATGCTCCGGAATGCCTTACAAGCAAAGACAGATTATGTTCTGACTAAAATATTTATTACTGTGTCAAATAATTACATACATAATACTTTTTTCATAATCACACCTATAATGACATATTAGCAAACGATAACCAAAAAGTGCATACTTATAATTAAGGGGAATGTAGTAAGTTAATAACAAATTTTCTTATAGTAATTTTAGTTAGTTCTTAATTGATAGTCTCCATTTTGGGTGATGTACCTAACCCAAGGAAGGGCTTGGTAACCACTCTTTTCAATAATCTTTAAGTATCTGACTTGTATGCCAGATGTAGTGAAATATGGGATTTCAAATTTCACCTGGATTGGAGGTTTTCCATCAAGATCCTCGCATTCAACTGATGGCAGGCCAAAATGAGCTCTCATTAAGTACTCCTTGCCTCCTGGAAACGATTTGATTGACCAGGTGATAGCATTCTGTTCTGGAGTGTATTTTACACTACCAATAGTAGTCTTAAACTTGGGTGAATCTGCATCAGCTGGGACTGGAATGATAATCTCAACATTGTTGGCAGTGGAACGTCGTTTGAATTGTGACTTTGCCTTGATCATATACTCCACTCTGGAGTGTGCATGGCGTTCAATCACGGACTCAATCCAGATCAAGGGTTTCACATGTGTGTTCAGCCTGTAAGACATAAGTTCAAACTCGCCATCAGGTGGGATGAAAGAGATTGTCCTGTCATTTTCAAATCTGGACAATCTGACACATTGATGGAACTTTACATCTTCCAGCTCAACGGACTTCGACTTCCCTCTCCCTGTGCTTTCAAACAGAACTTTGTCATTCAATCCAAGTCGCAATTCTGGCATTCCTGACAAATAAACTCTCATTTTAATTGCACCAACAATTTCACTACTCAGAACATTGCCATTTGAATTAGCCAACAAATTAACTGACTCAATAACATCCAGGAAAACTTCATTCTTTCGATACTTAATGCCTTCAGATCGCCATGACACGGCATTGGTGACTGCCATGGGGATCCTAGGTTGCATCTCTAATTTATGTCCCTCTTGTGTTATGTACTCTTGTAAAATCTTACTATCTGTGGTCTGAGGATAACCAAAATCCAACAGTTCATCTAGCAACTCGTATATTACAACGAAATTGTCGCGAATACTCTCCTCTTCAAGCTCTTTAAAGTATTCAGTCATGACTTCAACAATTTTGTATAAAAATACAAAGACAAGGGCAATATTTGCATTCTTCTTTGTAGTTGACACTATGTACAAATTATTGGTCTTGATGTATGCGAAAGTACACTCGCTGGTTTGCAGTAAGGGCGTGAGCATACCTTCCTCTTCCTTTTCCATCAGCAAGGGCATGAATTTGTCTATGACTCCCATGTCAACATCGCCTCGGTAATTCCTGGAAATGAGCACCTTACCCTTCACATCCAGGATATAAATCGCTGACGAAGACATGTTGAAACTGTAAAGAACATATTTCACATCAATATCACAGCCAGAAACCAGTTTTGTCGTGTTATTTGGGCATAGTATGTTCAATGCTGAAATCCTCAAACGTTAGCGACAACAGTATTTATAAATAAGCCCACGAAGAAAGGGGCAAGTTTTTGTTTTACTTACGTAGATAGAAAGGCTTTTTACAGAAAAATTAACATTTTTTTCAACAGCAAATACGTGTGGAAATGACGCAATGCAACTGCCAAGTTGTCAATTTGACATATTAATAACACAGACAGAGACTCGTCTTCAATTTTGTAAATCATAGACAAAAAATACGCATCACGGCAACGGCATCTGCAAAATGCATGAACAGCCGTTTTCAATGTAGTACTAGGCATGGACGTAAGTATTAAATTAAAAGATTTTTTTTCTTTTAAACATACCTAATTTCTAAACTCTACAGTAGCTGTCATAAATTAATAGACTCATACGGGCCTTTTCCTTTATGGAAAGAAGAAAAAAAAAAATAGAGTCATATGGCGCGAGGGAAGTTTGTTTTTGTTAGAAAATGAATCTAACAAAAGATAAATTATTCATCAGAAATGCTTTTAAACTACATCAAATTTACTATAGATCGTACTATGATGTATTTCCATTTAGTGAAGTTACAATAATTCGAAATAACCGCAGTGAAAACGAAGTTGACATACCCGATGAGCAAGTTTTAGAAAAACAACCGGAAAATGTATCAAAAGAGTTCAGGGTAAATGAAGTAAATATTCAGATGATTTCAAAAAATATATTCGAGCAATTATTTAAGTCTTCAAGCCCTCCTGTTGACGCAAAACTCATAAAAAGGTATGATATGTAAAATTTGAATTAAGACAATAAATTAATTGTTCTAGTGTGTGGATAATTAATACACCCGGAGTTGTAATTACTTTGGTACTTGGTACTTGGTACTTGGTGTAACGGGCTGGTGTCCGCAACTCGACGACAAGGCGCCTAATTACTTTGGTATTCATAACATAGGTTCCTATTTTGAGACAAGTTAGTCGGCGTAATTGCGTATAAAGTCCTTTGAGTAAGAATTTTTAAGTATTCAGTTAGTATCACCAACTATTAGTTGGGAGACACATCTGCAGGAACATGGGTATTTAGCGCCACAAGCTATTTGTTATGAGGCAGAATAACTCAGCTATACCCATGCCTGTCCACACTTTGATATTACACAAGTGACCAGGATTTCCTTCTAAGGCTGTATTGTCTACGTTAAAAGCTTTGTATGGTATGGTGTGATGAGCTGGTGTCTGTGGTGTCTATTTTGCGTGTGATCGTCAAAAGCTTACAATAACAATAAGACATTAAACGGCCATGCATATCCCTCCTCGAAGTATTCAGTAGACCCAGGGCATGCTGAAATTAAATAAGGTACTTGTGTAGCGTGTATAGAATCTCGTACATACCATATGCACAGTAAGCACCCAGACATTGATTTGCGAACACCTTACCAAGTCAAATGAATTACGTGTTGATTTTTTCTTTAATTTATTTGGTTTACCTACGGCACTCATAATTTGACTTATTTCCAAGTTTTTTTTAATTATAAGAAAAGTGACAGGACAAACAAGTCATGCACGTGATGATAACCTACACGCTTGTACATAACAGTTGCAGTGCCACTCACAGCTTTAAATCACAAAGATTTGACGGGCAATGCCACTGCGCCCATCACTTTGTGACACTAGTTAACAAATCCCATGTGCCTGTAATTTCACCAGCACTCTTACCTTTCAAAATCGGAACACAGTAATGCTGATGTTACTGCTTGGTGGCAGAAATAGCTAAAGTGGCAGTACTTCCCTGGACGAACACTCACAGGTATACTTGGTACTTGGTGTAACGGGCTGGTGTCCGCAACTCGACGTCAAGGAGCCTATTTTGTGTGTGGTTGGTGCAGGGTCCTACTCTTGACACCCAAGCTCGTCCAGGAATCGCAGCAGCCTCGTCGGTTTGACGAGACGGTTTGATGTTAGACCCAATGTCCATTTGTTGGTAGGTCAATGGCGATGAAGTCTTTTTAAGTTAACTATAAGTTATTGTTATATTATTGTTACAAAAAAATAACTTTGCATGTTTTACCTTTTCAGGTGCCAAGATAATCTCTTAAAACATGGTATAGATTTTAAATCATTCAGCCTATTACCAGATGTCGAACTGAAACTGCCAAAGTTGGAAGGGAAAGATATAGAGGAACATTTCTATAATATAGGAGAGTTACAAAGTGCACCATATAGAAAATTATTGAAAAAACTGGCTGAATGTTCACTACCTCCTTTGCCAAAGGTAATTATAACATTGGATTTTAACAATAATGTGCCAGAAAAACCACACCAGGTATGGTCTCAAACTAGAAAATTCTCAGTAGCATAATTACTAGAGCAACGGAATTCGCTTTGAGGCACTTTGTAGAACACCCAGACCAGAACTAATTTAGACGTGAACCTTGACCATGGCACCTAGATCCCGAAACATTGGTTTGTTTGAAAAAAAAAAACAAATGTTTGCAATTAACATCTGAAAAAATGGTTTCGAATGAGTCCCACAGAAATCGGACCTGGAACCTACTCGTCAAATGCTCATAATGCATAATGGTGGACCATAGATTGCATCAAAGTGGTTTGTATAATAGGTTTTTATGTTGCTTCGAAGCTTCTTCCCACGTCCCGTGGTGGGAAGAGTGACGAGTGACGGCCTGTCGGATTCGCCGCGTGTCGGTAAGGTGTCGCACAAACGTGTTGAATACAAGCAACCGGCAACTAGGGAATATTCATCAATTATATTTTCATATAATTGATATGTAATCGACATAGTCGCCGGTTGCCGCAACAGCAATTTGTATGAAAATAAAATATTCGCTAGTAGTTGCCGGTTGTTTGTATCCAACAGAAGACACACGTTTGTGCGGCGCCTAACTTGCACACGAGAGCGCGTGCCTTTGGCTATTATTCCTTATTTGACAGCGTTAATTTGAATAATTAGTCTGAATCGGTAAAGCAAACTACGCATTAATTTAGATTTCGGGATACCGAGTGCACCAAGAAATGTCATATTTAAACTTAAATGATGACACCAAAACCATGGTTAAAAATGATTTAAAAATGAAAATTTATTTCCTTATTAATATATGAACATACAAAGTTTTAATATTTTTCACATCCTAGAAACATATAGGTATGTGATTAAAATTAATTTAAATGTTGCGTAAAATTTCAAATACCATTATAAACGTTTATTTCCCTTAAATTTTTTACTAATCATTTCGTCGTTTTATTTTTTTGTATTTATTTTAAATTAATATATTTTTTTTACAGAAATGGTCTAAAGCAGCCGGTTGGAGGAAGTACACTGGCAATAAATCGCAGTCCGTTGCATGTCCTCCAGATGATGCGGTTATCTTCGATGTGGAGGTGCTTATGTCTGCTGGCAAGCGGCCCACATTGGCCTGTGCTGCTTCAAATGACGCTTGGTACGTTACCAGCCCATAACGGCACCATCTTGTCCAACGCAATGTCACAGTGGGTGCATTACCCTAAAAATTACCTTACAGCTATATGCAACAGTATTATGGCCTATAATCATGTACGATGCGATAGTATTGTGGCCACGAACTGAGCTAAGAACCGCCTAACCAATTGTTAGCAAGCGCGGCGACGGCAACCTGCATGAAAATGACGTAATTCTAAACGTAAAATTTTAGGGAAGTGACAAATCAGATTTCAATAAATAACGTATGTGGCATACTAATATGCCACTTGTTTGGTACCAAATATTATATTATAATAAAATATATTTTATTAAATAATAATAATAGCGCGCACACTCATAGCCCTGCACTAGGATAACCCTGTATCGCAGGTGCCATTGACACACACATAGGCAACCTCAAATTACATCCAAACTCACGAGAGAAATAAATGTAGGCCACACAAATATTTCTCCCGGCCCGGCCCAGGAAGCGAACCTGCGACCTCTGCGTAGCAGTCCAGCATGGTAACCGTTCGTCCACGTAGGCAGTTATTGATAGTGATGTTCTTACTATCATACCATGATATCTATGTTTTGTAAAAATACTCCACTAATTTGTTATTGTGATTTATGCGTAGGACGAGCGTACACAAATAAAGATTCCTACAATCCAACTGGACTCGAACCAGTGTCTGTTGCCTTAACGTGGCTACCGCTCTGCCAATTGAGCTACGGATCAAACCACTAGATCTAACGAACTTTTTTATGTGCTTGTTGTGGACCTTTGTATTGGGCTTAAGTTTCAGTATAAGTAAAGCTTAAAACATGATATAACTAACGTGATCATATGTCTCGCTTTGAGCGGGACTGTCCCGCTTTTGAGCTTCGTGTCCCGCTGCCCCCAAATTACTTAAAAATGTCCAGCTTTGACAAGATGACAATAAATATAATAAAATTGCGCGAAAGCGAAGAATATATACATCCTGCTATCGAGTATATAACCAGAAACGGATACGAAATGTCATTTAATTTCTTTGAAAACTATTCTGCCAAATCATTACGGTGACAACTACGCTCCGATAGGTCAGCCCGATTTCGAAGCAATTGACGGGTGTCGTCAATTGTTTCACTTCAAATCGACCAGTTTAACTAGAACTTTGCTATAATGGATGAAAATTGAAAAATTGCATATTTAATTACCGATGAAATGTGATTCCGTTGTTTTGTAATTAAATGTTTTGCTGTTTTTCTCACACCACCGAATGAAATAGACCCTATTGTTAGAGATATTATCTTTACTACGCAGGTCAATGTTTACTACAATAAATACAGAATGTTTTTGGAATATACAGATATGTACACACAGGTAAGTTGTTGGTGTTGTATTATTTCAGCTTTCTAATTTGTGATTTCAGCGCAAACGGGAGTTGATATTTAAAAGTGTTATAAGGCCCATTTGCCTGATGAGTTGCCAGCGGTAGGTGGCCCTTATTTCGTCTCTTTTTCTGGTTATATACTCGATGCATCCAGCCCTTGCACTTCACAAGATTAGTTCTTTTTAAAATTATTTTATATCATTAAATCTTTCGTAACATGTGTTTATTTAAAAAATAAATAAATAAATTTACAGGCGTCCCGCACTGAGGGTATATAATACTGGTCACGTTAGCTATAACAGATGTAACAAATAAATAGTGCCAGTACAAAAAAAATGGAAGTAAATTAAATTTTGCTACTCTGCAATTTAAACCAACTTACTTCCATTTTTATTAACATGGAATTCTGCAAAATAACGCCAAAATCTATTTACAATCATTTTTTTTTTCGCATGTCTCTGTTGTTATGAAACAAAATTCCTCATATTGATACACAAATTAGAAAGAATATTTTATTCTATCAGGTACGGTTGGGTCAGCGAGCCCCTGTCAAAAGGCGAGGGCCATAAACAATATGATCATGTGAACTACGAAAACTTAATACCATTAGAGACAGATGGCATGGAACCGTGTGGTGATCTCGATAGACCGCGAGTTGTGGTGGGCCACAATGTTTCATATGATAGAGCTAAAATCAAAGAACAGTATTGGCTGAATAAAACTGGTAAGATATAGAAACTTTTTAACATTTCATAACAATTTAATAAGTTTTTTCACACCTTCTTTTTATTATACCAATTTTGCTCACCCGGTGATAAGTGACACGCCTGTCTATATTAGTTGCAGTGTCAGAGCTTTAAATCGCAAAGATCTGAGGTGCACTGCCATTGCACCCTGAGACATAAGTTGACAAGTTAAAGTGCCTGTAATTCCACATGCACCATTACGCTTCAAAATCAAAACATACATACGATACATTACTGCTTGTTGAAATAGGTAACGTGGCAGTACTTCCTTCGAGGAATTCTTCCACAAGGAGCTCTACTGCTACTGTATCTAGCCATTATTTTCCCTATCTATTATTCCGACCTTTCATCCTATTCATCCATCCTGATGATGATACAGAGATCGAACAATACAGAGAAAAGTTCCTTCGATTTAACTGGACTCGAATCAGCGTCTATTGCCACACCGGGGCACCTCTCTCACCGACAGAGCTACAGGCCATGACAGCAACTCTTACAAATTTCTCTATATACTTATTGCAGATCTTTGTATCGGGTTAATAGGCTTTTTCTGCCATCAGCGCCACCTGTTAGAAACTTAAAGTTTCTCCACCCAGCTAAGTACCTTAACCGCTACCGGAGGCTGACGAGAAATGTCGCTATATTAATTTTAATATTTATTTTATTGAATATTATAAAGTAACCACAATCTAACAGATATTTGAACACGAAACAATTCAGTAACTTCGCCTTGCCGCTAGATGACGATGGGATCAAAATAGAATTCGCTATCGAAGGGTCCACTAAATTACCATAAAAGCTGCACTGTCAGTACTTCCACCTGTTGGTATACTTGACTGAAAGCTCATGGTATCGTCGTTCCTTATCATCGATCGCCGGCTACCGTTCCACCTCGAGAGACGGTGGGCTGACATCGTGGATAAGGGCGGTTACGTTTTTTATGTCGACGTTACACCTGTGTGAATAAAGGCCGAAATTGCATTTAGAGACTCGGACGTCTTTCTTCACCCTCCCTCGCTTCGTATACATTTTACAATAATATTTTACCCATGATGTGCAATATGTTATCAAACATATATTTTCAATAAAAAATCGCCCGACTACATGAACAGTCAAATCCCCCTCGAGCAGTGCCGTCAGTGCATAGAGTATATAACCACAAATAGAGACGAAATAAGGGCCTGGATTGCCACTCATCAGGCAAAAGGGCCTTATATCACTTTTAAACATTAACTTTCGTTTGCACTGAAATCACAAATTAGAAAGCTGAAATAGTACAGCAGCGCCAACAACTGAGCTGTGTGTACGTCTCCGTATATTCCAAAAATCTTTTGTATTTATTGTAACAAAGATCTGTTCAATTCGGGGTATGGGAAAAACAGCAAAACATTTAATTACAAAACAAACGGAATCAAATTTCATCGGTAATTAAATATTAAATATGTAATTTTTCAATTTTGGTCCCTTGTAGGGAAGCTCAAGTTAAACTGGCCGATTTGAAGTGAAACAATTGATGACACCCGTCAATTGTTTCGAATTCGGGCTGGCCAATCGGAGCGCAGTTGTCACCGTAATGATTTGGGGCAATAGTTTTCAAACAAATTAAATGACATTTCGTCTCTATTTCTGTTACGTATTCGACGCGTCAGTGTTACCATTTTACTGTTATCGACTACACTGAATTCAAATCGACAGCTAATTATTCACAGTCATAATGTCTAAATAGATATCACAAGTACCGCGATCTGTATGAAAACGCTATTGATAACGCTAACGATGACGTCACAAGCGCTATTTAGTTATTGGAAACCTACGGCCCTAAAGCGATTGATTAAATCGAAGACGCGGACTTTTCAAGTATTTATTGATTATACGAAGCCGTGAAATATTAATATAGTAAAATGAAACGTAGCAGCGGCAAAACATTGGGCACGCGAAGTAGGTACACTTGCAGCGTCTATTTAGAAATACATATGTTTGTGTAATTATTCTATAAATCTAGAATAAAAAAAATGTATTATGAAATAGCCGAGGCTATCAAATACAATACGTAAATGACTAATAGATTATTATTATTATTATTTCCGTGAAGGAGTCCGCTTCATGGACACCATGTCGATGCACACGTGCGTGAGTGGTGTAACCAGCTACCAGCGCACTGTCCTCAAGGCGAAGGAGAAAGAGCCGCACCCTACTGATGACGAATGGATGGAAATTAGCTCACTGAACAGCCTTTCTGAGGTAAGTATAACAAATGACAATTAAAATATTTAAATCTATAATTTTGCCTATTCAGAATGATAATATTTTTTTTAGGCAATGAAACTATTGGATTTAAATCTCCTACATTTGTTTTTTAAACCAACATTTCGGACCCTTTTGCAGGTCCCATGATCATGGTTAAGTGAGCTGGTAAAGTCATCAACCAGTCATGTCTAATGGTAATACCTTTTGTAAAGTATTAATTAACTACCTTATCTTTAAATTTTCCAAAGAACATTCCAATTTACGCTACATATGTTTTACAGTTTTTTTAAATATCAAATTTTATTAAATTAAATTATTAGTTATTAATGGAAATTGGAATAAATTAAAACATATTAACTAGTACTGCAGTCTTATGTCTGTTTGGGATTTTCACATGAGGTACAAACTGGTGGTACGGAGAAACCATCTTCTCTGTTGAAATTAGGATGTTTTTTAATTTCAATGGCCTCTCGCAGCATCCTGGGTAGATAACGGACTTCTTTTTCAAGGACCTGGGGTTTGTCAAACTAATTGAATATGTACGTTTATCCATGACATGCTAAGAATTTTATAATAATTTTTTAGTCAAACCTGTACCATCGTTGGTAATACCATCGCTTAACATGACAAAAATCTGTGGTAGTGACCGGTTTAGTTGTTGCAGGTTGTCTTGATATAAAATGTTTGAAATAAGTATTGAAAAAATATAAATGTGTGCAAATGTTTATTTACAACAGCGACCTAGAGGTCGGTCGCAAGAAAATATAGAGCTTACCAATGAAATATAGTAGATTACAACAACAGGTACGACGAGTGCATAAAACGCGTCATTTTACCCGAGACGAGTATATCCACGCGAGCCGCAGGCGAGGGTGGATAATTAAGTCGAGGGTAAAATGGGTTTTATGAACGAGTTATACACTCTGCTTTTTATTTCGATTGCGAGGAAATTAAACAGCAATATTACAAATAAACGATAACACAACTATTGACAAGAAAAAATAAGAACTTTCCGCCAATTGTACTACTTTTTTTTTCTGCACGTGACTCAGGTCGGTAACGATTATTTAATTAAAATTGAATGTAAAATTACAACAATTAAACATATTTAATGTGATGTTTTTTTTTATGCACTAGAGCATAAAATCTTATTTTATGCAGCCTACACCCAGCATAAATACAAACTTTAAGAGCATGAGAAGTGAAAAAGATTATTTGACTTTGACTTGACTGGGGTCAAGCATGCGTCTGTTTCCGTAAAAAATACATAAAGCTTTTAAGACACAGCATTCCTACACGCTACATGCATAAAATAATGCGGTCAAAACTTTATATAACAATTAATATATAAATATTTATAATTTATAACAATTGGAAAAGTATTCAGTTTCGATACAATTTTTTCGGGTCTAAATCGCGTATATTTGTTTTTTTAAACAATCAAGTTTCCGAACAAGAATGCGTAATCGGGTATTTAGTACCTATTGGTACACCAGATGTCGCGAAGAGTACCAAATGGGAAGGGTTATGTTTTTCTTTTTATTGACTTTTCGCGGTTAGCATTTTAGCCACGTACTTGTTCTTACAACGGAACTTATACATTAGTTTGTGACACACACTGCCTAATGAATGACACTAATATTTGTCAAAATTCAGAAAATAATTTTAGCTCAAGACCAATATTTAAATTTGTTTTTTATTTTTTATAATACCAAGTGACGGGATGAACAAGTTGTGCGCCTGGTGGTAAGCGACACACCTGTCCATAACAGTTGTAGTGCCACTCAGAGCTTTAAATCGAAAAGATCTGAGGGGCACTGCCACTGCGCCCGTCTCATCGTGGTACATAAGTTGACAAGTCCCATGTACCTTCACCAGCAAAATAATATTACAAGAAAAAACTGACATGTTATACCTATCCACGGCCATTAACGTTATATAAAATGCTTCCAGGCTATTAATCAGCGCCAGTTAGACATAAGTCGGAATTTGGGTCTATTTCAGAGCTACAATTTATAGTATATTTATCCATGTTATTATTAATTCCAAAAATCACAA